ATATAAACGAAATCTTATAAATACAATAAAACGTTAAAATGTTAACAGTTAGAACCCAAGATAACAATTAGAATAATCAAAAAACGATACGATGAGAAGCTTTCTTTAGCAAGCACTAGGAGGCCAAACCGCAACAATACAAAACCAAATACGAAATGACAATTAATGAGTTGTACGTTTGTGACAACAGCAGTGTTTGCAATTCTAGTAGTTTCCCAGACTGGAGTGCTTCAAGTACTGATTTTGCATCTGTCAGCATTACCACATACTGTGAGCGAAGATTGGTATTTAGCAGTTTCTCTGTTGCTATCTTGATACCCTGAGTTTCTGCATCATAGTTATGGCAGTACTTTCTGGTTCGTATGCTAAACTTATCCCTAGTACCATCTGGGAATTCTATGTACACTCCAGCACCACCATTTCTAACTGCACTTTCTGCGGACCCATCTGTAGAGACTCTGACCCATTGTTCTTGTGGGTATTCTTCATCAATATAACTGAGGGTGGCCATTCTGCGTGGTACACTATCTTGTTCTTTCTTGTCAAATATTCCTTTCACATTTGTCTGAATTTGTACTGTTAGTTTGCATTTCTCTCTCCGTGGGGTTTGTTCTGGGATACTGTTAAGTGGACAACCAATTTCTGGAAGGTCAGCAGTTTGTCTACATATTCTTTTTGCTTGATGTATAAAGCTGCTTCTTTTTAACCGTCCCAAGGCTAGGTTCTGAAATCTATTTTTCATGGGGTGATCTGGCATACTGAGGAACTTTTCAGCTTGTATTTGCAATTTTGTATCACTGCGTTCTCTCAGTGCCTGTGTTTTCCCAGCTTTCTCCATTTCTAATATGGGGGTTGATTTCATCCCTCCTGTGATAACTCTGAGTGCTTGATTTTGCACTTTGTCCAATTCCTTTAATGTGGTACTAGATGCTGAACACCATGCAGTTGACCCATATTCCAAGTGTGGTTGTTTGCTCTGTTTGTATACTTTATTGAGTATTTTCCCACTGGCTCCCCATGTGGTTCCACTTAGTTTTCTTAGTATGGCTGTCTTCCTCCTGGCTTTGGTTGCTGCCTTGTTGATATGTTTTCTCCATGTCTACCTGTCATCACATGTGACTCTGAGGTTCGTGGATTCTTTATCATCTCTTCGGGGTATTTTGTTTATTTTGATGATGCCCGCTTTTTGCTTTGGGGAGAGAGTGAAGAGTGTGGTACTACATTTTTCTGCATTGATGCTGACACACCATCTATTCGCCCATGCCTCAAGTGCATATGTAGCCCGCTGTAGTGTTCTTGTGGCTATCGTTGCATGTTCATCGGTGCACCACAGTACCAGGTCGTCGGCATACATTGCCATTTTGATTCCATTTGGTATTTCAGCAACCAGGTCGTTGATGAATAAGAGGAAAAGTGTGGGCGATAGGACACCACCTTGAGGGGCGCCATGTTGCAGTAGAACTTTTTTACTTTTGAAACCATCTACCTGTACCCTGGCTCTTCTGTTATGTAGATATGCTTTAATTCAATTGTACATTCTTCAATTTACTTTATAGTTTCTCAGTTTCTTCAAAAGCCCCTCCTTCCAAACCTTGTCAAAAGCTTTCCTTAAATCTAAATATGCCGCGAGTACCAGTTTCTTATCTTGAAAAGCATCCTCTATTTCTTGGGAGAGGTATGTTGTCTGGTCTTCCATAGAGTAGAGCTTTCTAAAGCCCGCCTGCTGTGGTGTAATGATGTTTTCACTTTCAATGTACCATTGTAGTCTGAGGTTGCTGATGCGCTCCATTGTTTTACAGAGACAACTTGTGAGGCTGATCGGTCTGTAGTTGAAGGCATTGGAACTGTCTTTCCCAGGCTTTATGAGGGGTATCATAATTGCCTCTCTCCGAATCTGTAGAACATTTCCTGTTGCCCAGCAAGCATTAAATATCTGTAAAAACTTTGTTTTGGCCACTGTTCCTAAGCTTTTGGCAATCGTTTACATTTACTTTTCTAGGTTATCTCCGCACAGGACTGCAGGTTACGCCAGGCTGGTGAACGAATGAAGTTCAATCCCAACAGGAACGCACAACGAGTCATAAACACACTGTGACACAAAGTGCCACCATTCGGATGAGAATCATCAGTCGCAAGTCCCAGAAACCCCGTTCAACCGTCAGGTTATATTAAGGCCCACTAGAACAGCCGAAGTTGGGCTTTAAAATAACGAAAAGTCATTTAGGCATGTAAATGTATTGTACGTATATACGTTTTTAGTCAAAGACTCTTGCAGTACACATAAATGGTCTTTAATAATGTGAGTATACTTGACTATACTTTCATGGTATTAAAAAACATTATACAAATGATGCCTCGTATTCCTTAGTGTTTAAAACAGAGGTGACTGCAGTCAAACAAATATCAAGAAATGAATCAACTGAACTGACTAGAAATCTAAATGGAGACGGGGGTTGGGGGGGGGGGGGGGGGGGGGGGGACAGATATAAACGATTTGACGTTTGGTTGGAAGCCTTTATCAACAAACACTATTTCAAATAGCAGGAGAATTCTGGACACCAATCCGCAATCTGTGAAATCCGTTGTGTCACCAGTATAGGAAACTGTTTTACACAGGAAACTCATTTCACACAAGCCTAACATTTTATCTTCATCACATATCCGATAATTACATTTAATCACTCCGTGCATGCTTTACATTTTTCGCTTACATGCTACGGTATTCGTGCTTTGTATGAGGCATTCGGTAGCGGCTAGCCGTTCTGTTGATAGAGAGAGCGAGAGAGAGAGAAAGATATAGAGAGAGAGACAAAGTATCAGTTCAGATTTTAAAGACTGCATTGCTTCAGATTCGACTGATACTTTACTTTCTCTAATCACATTTGTCTGTCACTTTAACTTTATCACTTTGAATCTGACTCATAATATAACTTTTAGTTCAGATTTGATTGATGCGCTATTTGTATTGCTTCAAATTTGACTGACACTCTACTTTCTCAAATCACATTTGTCCGTCACTTTAACTTCATACTTGCCTGACGTCTTAGCCTCATTTTTACCCACTTACTTGACACTTTTCTACTACGCCAGTTGCTGACCATTCATTAATGTGACCAAAATACTTTTTACTCCCAGTCTCTCGGATGTTGAATTCTATTTCGAAGGCAGATTTGACTGTAAGACCCAGCTCGTTCTGAAGTCTTTCTATCTGGATTTCAGCAGCGGTACGCGGCGTTGATGTATCCTGCCGAATGATTGTTTGAAAATAAATATTATAAACTCGATTATGCAGAGAGAGGGTGAGATTTACAGACAGACAGACAGACAGACAGACAGACAGACAGACAGACAGACAGACAGACAGACAGACAGACAGGCAGGCAGGCAGGCAGGCAGGCAGGCAGGCAGGCAGGCAGGCAGGCAGACAGACAGACAGACAGACAGACAGACAGACAGACAGACAGACAGACAGACAGACAGACAGACAGGCAGGCAGGCAGGCAGGCAGGCAGGCAGGCAGGCAGGCAGGCAGGCAGGCAGACAGACAGACAGACAGACAGACAGACAGACAATCAATCAGACAGGCAGGCAATCAATCAGGCAGACAGGCAGTAAAATTAGAAAAGGATAGCTCCTGGTCACCAGCCTCCAGTTATTACATATTATATTGTTTATAGGTTCAAAAGTTATTAGTTGAACAGAGGTCTAAGAAATTTGCTGCTTAAAGAAAAGAGCAGAATCTGTAGGATTTTAAATTATAAAAGGAAAAGGACATGGGAAATCTATGGCCACGTGCAAAACTAATCGCTGATCCGAAGAGGATCACTAATATGTGATCACAAACTAAACGTTCTATCCCTTACCGTGGCTGATTTAATTCAGTCGAGAAAAACCTGGCAGTAAAAACAACACATCTTGCCCAGTCTTCGTCTCTGCAAAACTCTCCCCAAAATTGTTCACTCTGTCTGATTTGTCCAGCCAGCTGCTCACTGCAGGGTCAATGAGACCCTTGTTGATCCTGGAGTCTTTATCCGTCCCTAGTCCTTGTCGGAGTCTCCGTGGACTGTTGAAAATGTAGCCGCTAAGCGGTCATCTAAGTGCTAGTCCGTCAGTCACTATCATCACCTACAGTCATTCCATAGCCACATAGGCCCCTGACAAATCACTGTAGACCAGGACAGGTGTGTCTCAATGTACATGAGTTCTAGGTAAAGGTGTCTCTGGACAAGATGACACCAAGTAAGAACGAAGTGACCACCTCTCCTGCAGTAACTTACCAGTGTACCATCCAAAGTTTCCAGACGACACATCACTTCGCCAACCTTGAATCTGCCTTGACCTAGCGTGGGGCAAGGTCTCAGTGTGTTGAACAAGGGTTTCAGATATCTATTTGCATAGTTACCCTTGGCGCCAAAGTCTTCGTGGATAGTGATTTCTCCTCGAATACCACAGAAGCATACGCCTGTTGATAATTAACAGTCTGAATTATCATCTGAAGATCTTCAGCTCCTTACATATTATGGTAGTTATTTTGGCTCTATTGCTTTAAAATTGCGATTTATATCTTCCATATTTTGGTAAGTAGGATACATATATATGTCTTAAGTTCGAAAAAAAAATTCTTCTATTACTTTATTTCTTCGCCAGATCTCTTCTCCCAATGGATTTTGTGCATTCAAATAAATTAAGCATGTGTAAACTTATTAATAACTGTCTATATTTTGAAGCTAAATTAATTTAGAGCCGTGGTCTCGGACACATGGGACGACCCCCACTTTCACTCTCCGTGGGGGGGGGGGGGGGGTGGGAGTTGGCGCAAGGAGGTATCAAGGGAGCATCAAGCAATTTTGAACGCGAGTACATTTGTACTTGCAATAATATATATACTAGCATTCTGTTTTAGTTTAACTATAAATAAAATATTTTCCTGAACTATTTATCAAACAAAACGGTAAGAACATATTTGTTTTCTTGAGCAGTTTGTACATAAATGGTTAAAAATGTGATTGGTATGATAACAAGCGCATTTAATTATAGATTAAGAACACATTCCGACCAAAACGTGTCTCCATACTTTCTGTTTCACTTGTTGCGGAATCTAATGACCTCTTTTTAATCATATTTTGCTATGCTGGGGAGTGGGGAGGCGTCTTACCACATACTCAAGGAGGAATAGGGGACTTGTCATTTACTCAAGGTGGTACAACCGGGAAAAGGTTGAGACCATTGATCTGGAGAATGCATGATGTAACAAATGCAAGGAACCATCGCTAACACAAATTCCACAGGACCAAAAAACGAGTTAGTGTTGAAAAAAAAATGCGTCTGTATCGGGGACTAATAACAATAAAAGATCGCCCGTGTTTTTGTTTTTTTAACTGTCATTAGTTAGCTGCGTACAGGACGTTGCAGAAATAACCCCAGAAATTATTTAAAAAAATTTTTTTTCCTATTGTGGTTTTTGTAGGCAAATATTACTTTCAGTAGTTTGCCTCTGCCATTACCGCCTGTATTTACCACCTGTTCTCCTGCGGTGTAGGAAGCGGTGTCTTTCAGCCTGAGGATTTTGGCCGCGTGGCTGGTGCAGTCGCCACGGATTTGGTCCTGACATGAGAATATGTAAACATAAAATGCACGCGCACACACACACACACACACACGCACACCACACGCACACCACACACACACCACACACACACACACCATACACACACCACACACACACACCATACACACACCACACACACACACCCCCATACACCACACACACGCCATACACACACACCACACACACACACCACACCACACACACCACACACACCACACACACACACACCACACACACAACACACACCACACACACACACCACACACAACACACACCACACACACACACCACACACACCACACACACCACACACACATACACCACACACACACACACCACACACACACCACACACACACACATCACACACACACACACACCACACAGACACCACACACACACCACACACACACCATACACACACACACACACACACACACACACACAAAACGTTGCAGACGCTGAGAGACAGAAGAGTGCACTGAAAAACAAGTTTCTATTAGAGCCTGACACTGTTGCAATTACAAGCGTCCCAAATGACTACTAACGCTCAACCAGCATTGACTGTATGATGGAATCTTAAATAAACAAAGATTTAAAACTGATTAAACTCAAGACATAGAAATGCATATTTAATTTATTTAAAAAATACTGCAGTTCGCTTACCGCCATAAAGTCCGAGTCCGTTTTTAAATACTCCCCGCATTCTTCTCTTTGCCATCAGGCGTCCTTTAGGTCGTCCATGAATATCGTGAATCAGCACTTGCACAAAGTCATAATCGTCTAGTGAAGAGGTCATCTTGACGTCTCTGCAAAAGTTTTGACAAAATCTATGCAATTTTTCACAACAAATGTTAATACACTCAATTATTCGAACACGAGGTGATATTTCATTACAAATTTAAACAGAGATGTATTTTATCTCCCAACGTTTAGCATAGCTGTCTACTGGATCGTGTAAATAAACTGTACAAAAAACACAGGTAGCAACGACGTAAAGCAGTGTTTCCAAAACTTTTCTTAGTCACAGAGCTCTTTTTAATGTAAAATTTTTCCACGGCGCCCTAACGTAAGTAAAAGTATAACTACTCTTATGTGAGAGATAAAAAGAAATAAAACTCGTGTATCTTTGAATGTTTCGCGGCACCCCAGTGAAGAGGTCGCGGTTCCCGTCGCGCCGCAGAGCACATTTTGGGAATCATTGACATTAAGAGATCGTTATTTTTTTTTTTTTTTAAATGGTGTGTGGTTTTGATAAAAGAAGAAGACTCAATGAATCAAAATAAATGCAGAGAACTAATAGATGTCTGAAAATTTTCGAGCTTGTAGTTGTAGGTCTTATAAAGCAGTTGACTGCTGTAATGAAAACAATTTTTTTTTTTAATAACCAAAGAAAAAATTCGTCTTCTACAAAAATATTTTAATTTTTACAGTTTGTCTTCGAATAGCCACACGGTGACTTGTCAGGCATTGTAATTTATTGTCTACCATCTAAGCTGTAATGCATTGTATCTTGTAGGCTTTGTAGTGAGCTAGCGGGAAGCGAATAAGGGGAAAAAAGAGGGAGACGAGAAAAGAAATGAGGTTAGGACAATAACAACCCGCTGAACTGCAAAAACAGGAAAATTAAAGGACAGACATGAGCTTTTTTGCAGAGACTATGAAATATTTTTATGGCAAAGGATATAAAAATGTGAATATTGAACTGTCCAAAAATACAAAATTACAAACCATATAACTTCATAAGCAGTGCCTAGTAAGAATAGGTGCACGTACTACAAGCCCTATTCTGAATCAAACAAATGGAATATATATAATCAGCATATTCAACATCTCTTTATTGATGCACATGGAAATCTAGATCTAACACACCCTATCTACTGAACTTACTTCAACAACCCGAAACCAGTGAGCCAATCTATCTCTAGAATCAGTTTCCCTGAACCTACGTTGCTTTAAGAACCCTGTACGGTTCTGCAACCGATAGGTAGGACTAAATGTTTCTAGTCTCACTGCCGCCAACCAAAAAAAAAAATTGTCTTCGCCAGGAGAAGATTAGACTCACTGGCCACAACCGGGGAGTTTTGAACTGCAAAACCTGCCAGTTTTAGTTCGCAAATGTTTTGCAGAACGAACGAACGAACGAACTAACTTTATTTTCAAAGGGTTACAAATTGGGCACGCTGGCCCGTCTGACATTCGGCCCTTCTAAGCACTCGTTTTCCGGAGTACCGACGCCTGTTTTTTAAAATGCATGTTATAGATATAGAATAAAAATGTACATTATAGAATATAATACATACATAATGTGTACACAATCTTACACACTCACAGACATATATATATATGCTCTCACATTCTCATACTTGCACACTCATATACAGACATACCTAAGACATACATACATATATACATCTACATATATATACACAAACAGAAAAGACACACACATACATATATGGACATATACACACACACACATTCCATACATACACATGCATGCATGCATACACACACATACAATCACATGTACAGACACCCACAACCACACATTTACACTCACGTGTAAACATACATATACACATATACATACACACACCTACATGTTTACACACATACATGCATACTTGCATACATACCTACACCCACATACTTATACATTTACAAATGCATACACACATACATGCATACTTGCATACATACCTACACCCACATACTTATACATTTACAAATGCATACACACATCCACAAACATGCATACATACACACACCCACATACATGCCGACACACATTACATACATACCCACACATGCATGCATAGACACATATACAATCACCCATACAGATACTCACATACATACATACATTCACTCATGTATACATACATTCATACTTGCCTACATTATGTACACACATACACTCATATACAGTCACACATACTTAAAACACATATACATAAATACACACACAAACAAACTTAAATATACATTCATATATCTACATGCATGCTTACACACACACCCACAATCACACACACCCAGATAATGCATACAAATATACACACATATATATACTTTTATACATACATACACATACATAATACGTACCCACATACTTACATACATGCATACTTGCATACATTCATAAATACATACACATCCACAGCTACAAATACCGACAAACATCCATATACATGTATGAATACACATACACCCATAGACTTACACAGATACATTTACATAGAAACATTCTCATACATATACAGACATAAATGCAGAACCAGCCCTAGCAGTTTTTTTTTCGGCTTTTGTAGTTTTTCTAGGTAAGTTTTATGTTCAGTAGTTTGCCATTGCTAACTGAACGGTCAACACTCGGTACTTCTTTCGAAACCAACGCAAGACAAATCGGCCGCAACTGTGATCGAACCCGGCACACCGGCATTACGAAGCACGTTCGCAACGCCTAAGCCACACATACACAGACTCGCAAGTGTAGCCAATTCAAAATTATTATAACGGGCTAACAACCGATTCCACCATCCTGTTACACACTCCCCACTACATTTGTCGGCGTCCCGACAACGAAGCAATAAATAACTAGTATTGCCCGCCAACCCCATTTAACTCCTTTTCTACATTCCATCAAGTTACTGGTCATAGCCAACTAAGGGGAAAAAATGTAATGACATAACATACAACACTAGTTACTTGCAGCATCATAAACATACAGTCAAAACAAAAAGCACTGCTACTGACATTAAAGCCAAGCATGGCTCGGCATAAAAAAATTGGATAATGCACGAATACGTTGAGAGAAAGAAATAACATCAATGATGGCAATATTTATCGAAACATCTTGTAAACATGGGCGTTTTAAGTATCAAAACGCCGTCAGATCAGTAAACTTTTTACAAACCCCTCAACTCTATTCCACCCCTCAATAGAAAAATGCAGTTAAAAATATACACAAACTATCACTGACATACACTAGGCAAACCCGCAAAACATCGAATACATAGTGATCAACGTGTTTGACCAACGAACACCAGCATTCTTGACTGGCTGAAGTTCCTCTTCGACGTCCAATAATTCTTTAGAGATCTGTTCTTTTAGCTCCATGTTACCTCAGCCACAGGGATTACAAGGGACGTATTCCACCATTATCTCAACCGCGTGACTTACGATGGACATTTTCCAGCATTATGTTAGCTGCGTTGCTTACGAGAAACACATCCCACCATTATCTCAACCGCGTGACTTACGATGGACATTTTCAGACATACCTCACATTGTACCAGACTATTTGCTTCTTCCTCCACCTCTTTCTGTCGCAGGTCTTTCTCGGCCACGTTTTAACACAAGAATGACAGGTCATATTACTGCTAAGGAACATCACAGGCTAAACTGGACTGGGTGTTGGTTGTACCCGATGCAAGATTCCATAACACAGACAGACCTAAAATTCCACCTGACACGGAGATAAAATAACAAATAAACTAACCCCTAAGATGATGTCCAGACCTAAAGATAAACCACTCCTTATTGAACACAAGAAGTATTGCGTAACTTCTAACTACACACATACTTAAAGTCTGCAATATAGTAACCCCAAGTTGGGCGCCATTTTCAGCTAGTGGGAAGCGAAAAAGGATATAACCAGGATGGAGACGAGACAAGAAATGCGGTTAATATCACATGTTACAGTAGTGTATCTGATCAAAGCTGCAACAGGGCGACAACTTCCAGCAAAGTATGTTAGTTTTATACAGAAATATTAGCTTTCAAAAAAAAAAACTTGAGTAACAGTATCTATTTTGCAACAGTCACCATTAAAAACTTTTCACACATATTGTGAACAGTAAAAACAGCTTCAAAATCGAAATGAGAAAGGGAAATAACATCACCTGTTGTAACGCTTCTCTGTGCAAGAATGTATATGTAGTCCTTCTTTTCTTACATTGGCATGCATCAACTTATTTTTGCAGCAAGTAACAGTCGATCTGCTTCGAAGGATTTTCACACAAAATATGTTGATAAAGGTCAAACTAGTTCTCTTTGCTTCATTGACGTAACATACTTGCAGTAAATAATTGAGCTTTCGTTTTAGCCTCTGGGCCAAATTTTTAGTCTTTATCTTTTTGTAGTTATAATCGAGTACGCTCTGTGGATAAGTCGATGCGAACGCTTCGTAATGACAGGGTGCAGGGTTCGATCGTCAGCTGCGAGCCATGCGCCTTGCGTTGGTTTCGACAGTGGTATCAGGGGGTCGACTGTCTAGAAAGCAATGGCAAACTACTGGACGTAAATTTGCCTAGAGACACCAAACAACAGCCAGGGGCTGCTGGGGTTGGTTCTGCAACGTCCTGCAAAAGATACGCAACTAACCTAAAGTTATAATCGGTGTTAAAAATGAAATATGTACGACTAAAGACATTCTAATACATTTTATTTTACTTTCCTTTTAAATTGTAAATAATATATCCCTTTTTTATTCATTTAAAATAGACATACAGTTACGTTTTAGATAGAAACAAGAACAACCCTGTCATAAAGTTATATTCTCCCCGTGTGGGTTCCGGGACCCAGTTGTGGGGAAAACAAGAATAGGCCCACTGCCTACCCAAAAGCATGTCGTAAGAGTCGACTAATTGGGAGCTTCCTTCGAAGTCGGATTGTACAAATGAGTCAGATCTGTAAAACAGATGCACACGCAACACTCAGGTTCTGGAACATGACTGTCATCCAGAAGTGGATGAACATCCAGAACTTTCCGCCAGAATTTACAGCTGGTGAACACGAAGAAGAAAAAGAAGAAAGTTCTATTCTAGCATCATTCTCTCTATCTTACAACGGTTAATACTAAGAATGGTCTAAGGCAGTGGTTCTCAACCTTTGGGCCTCGACCCTTTTGTAAGCCGAACGACCCTTCCACAGGGGCCGCCAAAAACCATAGGAAAACACATTTCCTAAAGTTGTGAAGTAGTAAAGAAAATAACTTTATGGTTGGGAGTGGCCCCAACACGAGGAACTGTATTAAAGGGTCGCGGCTTTGGGAATGTTGAGAACCACTGGTCTAAGGAGAACCTCTCAACTCACTAGCTCGTCGACTAAAACTCACAAACTAGTAAACTTTTCACATAACCAACCATCGCATGACTAAGATCTGATATAGTTTTTATTATCGTTCAGTGTCGTTGCAAAAATTCTCGCTCACCCTTTGCCCAACCGCTCCCAGGTCTTGAAGCGACAAAAAAATATCAGAAGTCGGTGCTTTATTATTATCCTACTCCAGATGACGTAACAGGACAGTCCAACATTTTAGAGGTTGGTAAGACTGGGTTTCCCGGCTTTCTGATGCATTTAACGACCCCAAAACATCTAGAACTGGCCCTAACCCCACCTAAGTCCCACAGAGAGTGCAGCCTAGGTCCCACGACTACATGCAGCCTACGTCCCACGACTGCATGCAGCCTATCTACCACCCCCTGAAATAATAGACTGTCCCGTGACCTGTGGATTTCCCCTGTTTGGGGTAGGATATTAATAAAGCCCCCAGAAGTCGGAACCCCTACCCTGACAAGGATGAAGGTTAAATGATTCTTTGCGTGTCTGCATCGGCTCAAATACATTTACATACAGTAACAGCCGGTCTGCACTACTTAACAGCTTCAAAGGATTTGCACACAAAATATGTTCGTAAAGGTTAAACTAGTTCTCTGCTCCACTTATGTCACACACTTGCAGTAAATGTTTTGTCTTCGTTTTGGGCCGTACGCACAAATGTGAGCCTTTTTTTTTTTTCAGTATGTAGGCTAAACGTGGAGCCTTTATGTTACTAACTACAGTTTTATGTAGGCGTTTGAAAAAAAAAAATACTATAAACATTGTTGTCTTTTTATTTTACTGTTTTCCCCTACATGTACTGTATGTGAAGTATTTGCCTAAAAAAAATTATTTATCTCATTTATTTTATTTTTACAGATAGAAAGAAAAAGAATAGACCTGCAGCCTTCCCAATAAGCATGTCATAATAAGGGCACTAAGTTGAGTGTTTCTTTGGAAGTCAGAGTACTTCTGATACGTGAAGAACCAATAGTCTGCATGCAAATACGCCATATCTGTAAAACGTATGTGCACGCAAACCGCAACTGACTTTTGCTAGTGTGTGTGTGCTTTGGCATGTGAGCAAACATATTTCGTAAAATCGGTTGCCAAGAGCTAGATAAATAGTTACCAGCACTTATACCTTGTTTTAACAGTCAAATTACATCTGCCCAGTATAACCGATTGTTAGTAGTCACTGAAACTGGGTTCTGGTGGCTTATTTCATTAATTACGATACGAAAATGGTGAGGATTGTCAAGTCTTAATTCAGCATAGCATTCATCCTTTGGCAGTATCTGATCTCCAGCTGTGGGCTTGGTACAAATAGTGCTCAGGTAAATGTGCACGTCTGTGTGAATGTGTACTCTCGCTCGTGGGTGTGCGTGAGTGTGTGTGACGAAATTAATAAAATAGCAAACTTACTAGATGCGTTTCGCATACTTGAACAAAATCAGATCCGTTCAAAGTTAATAAAACAATAAAGACATATTTAAAATATCAACTACGTGTCCTCTTTCAAATGCAGCACATCAATGCCAGCATTTGTTGGCTGCCAATGGTTTCTCTGGGAAATGTTCCCACCAGTAGTGCGTGATTGCTCCTCGGGTTTTTTTTTTTTTTTTTATCCACACAAAGCGATCTGATGAACAAATCGCATGCTGCTAAATTCGAAAAGAAATTTTTAAAATAGCAGCCAGAGGCGCTAGCCTCTGGCGTCTTAATACCCTGCCCCCCCCCCCCCACATTTTTTGTGCCACTTTTCCCCTGTTGAAAATTAAGGGTAGGGGTTAGCTTAGCGCCCTATCTCCTAATATTAATCACAGTGTTAAGCTGCTACCTCCCACCCCCCCCACCCCCCCCCCACCCCTCACCCCCAACCCCATAAATTTTAAAACCATGTATATGTTTTCTTTATATGTTTTTGTTAATACGTATGTTATTTCAAACATATTATCTGTATTTGCAATTCAGAAAATTATTAATAATACTGAACATGTAGATAAGTCTTAGACTCTCTTGTGAATGTGAGTCGTGAACTATTTTAGGAGGTCATTGATGAAAAAGAATAAGCAGGGTAGGAGATATAACACCTCCCTGGGGGACACCTTCTTGTAACCTGAGCACTTGCTCTTGTATTCTTCCAGTCTGACTCTTGCGCAGCGTCTGTAAAGAAAATTTATAATCCAGGCAAACATATGCCTCTTTATCCCACTGTGTGCTAGTTTCAGCAAGATTTCTTTCTTCCAGACTTATCAAAGGCTTTGGTCAGGTCGAAGAAAGTAGCTAGATGTTTTTATTTTTTAGGGAAAGCATCTTCATTTTCCTGTGCGAGATAAGAGGTTTAGTTATTAGTGCTTCTGTATCTCCCGAAACCTGATTGGCTGTCATTCAATATCTTGTTTTCTTCCAGGAAATTAAGCAACCCGTTGTTCACTAATCTTTCTATGGTCTTTCCAAGGCATACTTAGGAGGTTTATGGGGTGGTAACAAAATGTGTTTTCCTTGAGCTTTCCTATTTTAGCAATGGGGACTATTCCCGCCTTCCTTTTTATTAAGGCTTCCTAATGCATTTTTCATCTTGACACTAATGTTTTAAACTTAAATATTATTTAGACTGCCAAGTTGAATTAAATAGACGTTTTGTTTTCATCTTCTCAATATTTTAGTTAGGTAACAAAACCAATTTTACTGTAACGACATGAATTATCCGAACCCTAACCCTAACCACATAAGTTACGCCTTTAAAACTTGTGATAAAACTTGGAAACGACCCAGCGTTGCCACACTTCCAGTGCAAAAGTTGTGGTCTTATCAGAATTTATGTAAAACACAAGAAACTCGTTTTCATAAAAGATCAATTCGTTGCAATTGAACTTTGTGCTGAATATCTCTTAAAAGGCAGTCTAGCAAGAATCATCGTATATTTATATACCTCGAATGAGCAAAAATGCATTGCAATTATTTGTTATGGGAGTTAAAAATGTGACATAAGACTGAGAATGAAGTAAGTATTGTTATATAATTTAATCCATTTATATTCCACTACTGCTGATAAAATATTCTTTTTTTATATAGTGGCCCGAATTTGTAAACGCACTATAAACATATATGTTATAAACTAATCGACATTTGCTGGATCTTCTTTCCTCTACACATGAAATCAGGTTTCAGGACAGGAAGATATCTATGGAACGGGCTCTTATGTTCGCTTCACACACACACACACACACACACACACACACATATATATATATATATATATATATATATATATATATATATATATAT